ATCACCTGCTAATTAAAACGACGATGCGACGAATCGCGAACGCGTGAAAACCAATCACTAGATTTGCGACTGTCGATTGTACCACTTGATATTTCATACAACGTATGATCGATATATATAATGTAATTTCCTTTCCGTTAATGCGCTTATTAACTACTGAGAAGTTCAAACGTTGATAATTCACTCGCGCAACTCGCAACAGATAACGCGAACCGATAGCCAATGTTACCAGCAGGTTATAACGAGAACATGTGTGATTCAGTGTGGCCTAGAAATAAAAGAAAGGGTATGCCACAAATACGACACGTTCGTCCTTCAGCGCAATTCGTCCTTCTACCTTCAAGTTGAAATACAATTGATTATGTCCTCATTCTAAGATACTTATCGAGTGCAACGCGATGTAACGCTCTTCTATTACGAAATGAGGAAAAATGATCGATGAAGAAAATCACCTAGAGAAAATGGCAAACGCCGTTTCAGACACCACGTACATTGCACGTTTTATACATGACGAGTCTTCTTCGCATTTCTATCTTACGCGCGATCCGAGCAAATACAGATGTTACCAAAGATGTGATGGCATCATCAGCTCGGTTTGAATATACGGAAAGAACACTTTTACTGGCAAATCTAAAAATTTAGTCAAATACAGATCTGAAAATAATTTTATTGGATCTTTAAAATTATTATGTATTCGAATTAGTTGGTCAAAAAGATAGAAAAATTGTTGCAATATATTATTATGATGCTTAAGCATTCTATATAATAATCTTGATGGCTCAACAAAATTATTTTGAGGTTTGTATTTAATCAAATTTTTGGATTTGCTAGAAAAATTGTTCTTTCTGTGTAACGTTTACTCATGTAAGCATAGGATAAATGTAATAAAATTTTATTGCTGACGACACAACACAGATAGACGACGGCGAAAATGACCTGACGCGAATACCGGCAGATTATTTACCAAGTGGCAATTTATATCAATTAACCTTTTTGTCCTCAATTAAATCAGCTTTAGTGGAATTAACACGAGTCACGAGACAAAGACAATTACGAACAATGTTATTGGATTTTAATAATATAAATTCTTATTAAAAATAAATGCGCATTTTCAAAGAATGAATAGAAAAATGAAAATCAAATTGTGCAAGATAAAAAGATTACATAGACAAATTATGGTATAACAAAAAAAATCGCAGCATTAAAGATTAATTATTTCTACAACAATGAAATAAAAATATGGTTTATAAATGATGATTTATGAGAAAATAGTGTCATAATCATATCTTGCAATGTCATAAATTTATACTCAATCTTAAACGAAGATGCACATACTTTTAATACAAATAACGACTTTGACATCCGCCGCCGTATATAAATTAAGAATTATAGCATGAATTTTTACTTTGACATATTTATTTATCTCTAATCGATAATTGATACCAAATCATAACTACAATCATAACTAATATGAATAATTATCTTACGAATATTTCCAAAAAACATGTTAGAGATATGGATTATATTCTAAAGATTTTTCGCAACATCTAACTTTTGTAAAGTGACTCATTTGAATTAACATAACTTTATCTCTCGATCGAGGCCGCATCTTTTCACGTAACTGATAATAATGAAAGAGACGTGACGCGACGCGCGGTGAGAAATCAGCGCCGAGATAATCGCACACCACATTGGCGAAGGAAATAAAAATCGCGATTTCTCATTTTATTAGTCAGCTGATGCGCGCAAAGAGACGCGTCATCGCCGAGAGAGAATGCATCGATGGGAAAATAAGTCAGATGTCATTACGCTTGCGCAACCGTTTCCCCTGGGAAAAAAAATTTTTTTGACCGATCTCAAATTATTTCCTGCCTCGCGTCATCAACTTCGCTCGATAATTCTACGCAAAAGCACGACTCGGTACGACGTTTCTTATCGTCGTAACTGTCATGATTACCGCGGCGCAAATCGCGGCAGAACCGATTACGATCGTAAAAATATTTATGAACCTGATCTCCGCGCGATCAGCCTTCCATAAATATCAACGCAAAAATGGATATTAATGCGCTCACATAAATTGAAATCAATCGCGCGAAGTAAATATAATATTTAAGGATTGTAAGGTTCGTCGCGCGCGTGCGCCATCGTAAAGTATTAAAGAAAGTAATGTCATATGAAGTAAGAACACAAACTTTGTACGATTATACCGTTCACGTGACACGCGTGGAACTTAACGAGACAACTTTACGAATAAATTATCTGTCAAAAATAAATGTTAAAAAAAATGTTAATAAAATTTGCAACAGTTAACATTATGTATAAGTCGTGTTACATATTGATTTTCGCAAAATATCGTAAAATAGCCAACGAGGGAAAGCAAGAGCAAATCTCTTTTGTACTATATTATACATAGAATTTCTATTCCGACTACTTTTACTGCAACACATCGATCATCGAAATAGCTAAAAGAGCACAACGACGGCAAGACTGTTCCGCGGAGAAATAACTAATTATGACACGATGACGCATGTGTATTCAATAGCGCGCACCTGCTTGTATTTTATAAAAAGTCTGTACCGCTATAAAACCTGAATGTTGCACACGACATAAAAAAATAATATGACGAATGCGGCATTCAACAAATAATTATTAATTCGACGTATACGAAAAGAATAATTTTGCTAAAAAAATTTAATCAGATGTAAAAATAAATTCATTAGGCCACCAAATACGTAAACCATTCAAATCAAAATCAACTATTAAAGTATACAAATTTTTTGCAGTATTATCATCATATTTAAGCGTTTTTCTGTATCTGGTCAAGTTTTTAGGACACTTCAACACAACCGTTCTTTTTTCCACGCATCTCCGAAATAAAAACACTTAAAATATATCAAATCACACATGTCAAGATATGAAATACAAGAAAATGTATACAAACAAAGTAGCCTTTTTAACAACCGCGGGGAGCTAAATCGTGAAATCTTGAAGCAATATTTCGTTTTCGTGCACTCAATATAATGTGCCTCGTACTATTAAACAGCTGCTAAGATTATCGATAGCGATGCACGCGTCGCATGCGTGTCAGGATACTTTCTAGCGTGGACGAACGAACGTAAACATGCGGCGGCGGCGGCGGCGGCGGCGGCGGCGGCGCGACGCAACAGCGATGGCGACGACGAATCCAACAGGTAGACCCATGGCGCGACTCGGATAAATTCCACGCGAATGCCACGGATTCCTTCGATACGGGCGCGTCGTCTCCCGGGAGACTTTCGCGGCCGAAGAAAACGCCGATTAACGCCGAGGCGTTCGCCTTAAACACGCGCTAACCACTTTTCTCCTTCCTTCCTTTCTTTCTCTCTAATTCGCCTGAATACATTTCACATGTTTTCACCCACGGCGATAAGAACCGAGAAAACACAGGCAACGAATTGCCGTCTCTCCGTCTGGAGAATTTTCGTTTCGTTTTCAATTGTTATTATATATATATATATGAAAGTGAGAGGAAAAGTAGGAAGAGGTTTTTACTCGCTATTGCAAATCTTGGTGGATTGAATTGTAAAAACAAAGTGACGTCCACAAAAGTGCTGTCCACTGGTTGATTCCCTCGTTCGCAATGAGATTCGCACTTATTTTCGTATATCTTTATTTCGCGAATTTGAATATCAATGCTCGCATTTATGTTTAGTCAAAAGAACCGCCTGCGATTTGCAAAACGAGTCATTCAATGCCATTCATTCTTTTTACGACTCGAATTTCGTAATTTGATGAATATCGACATACGCATTTATTCCAAATAACCTTGGGAGCAATAATTATCTCTCTCTAGAAAAAAAAATGTTGGTATTCTGCAAGTACCAAATCTTTTTCATTGCATCTCTGAAGAGAATCATTTATTATTTAACATTGTATATATTTGCGAATCCATTTACCAAGTAAAAATTAATGAATCCTAAGATAAGATTAGATTAAAACGTATTGAACTATTCGAGAAATGCTAAATCCCTTCCATCTATATCATCAAGGCAAAAATAATTTATCGTTTACGCGTATACACAATAACTTGCTTAGCAAATTTAAACTAATAAATCAAAGTCAGTTACGTGACATAGCGCTTAAATTGTTAAGAATGATCGAGATGCGTTTGCAAACACGTTTCATCGTCAGTATATCTTTTTATAATTTATTTTAGTTAAAAATTGTATTCTCTAAGAGAGGCGGATAGTTGTAATTTTCCGTTAGAAGAATAACATTATGCAACAGGAAGGTTTTCAAATGGCTTGTTGAAAGGCATCGATTTCGTTATATATTTTTTTATCTCTCGATTCGCAAGATTGTGCAAATGCAAATTAAGCAATTAATATTCTTACGCGAATTAAAAGCAATCTCGAATTTTGGGTTATAGCTCACCGCACATATTGTGACCTAATAAACGATTAGTTTATCTCCGCAACTATGTACATTTCTGTAAGAGTGTGCCTTTATCTGAATATCTACGCGTTTAAATATCGTTTGAAAATTCTGATATCGAATATTTAGCCTAGTCAAGGATATCCATTTTTACAAAAGTAGATTAGCTTTATTCTCGCTTTAATTTACTCTTCCTTTTTCTAATTTTCACTTATTTAATTTTTATTTCCATCAATTAACTTAAATTTCAATTTACTCTGTTTTTTTTTCTATTTTTTTTTATGTCCCTCTCTACCTCAATTTAAATCAATTTTAATCTCGGTTTAATTTATTTCTTATTTTTTTCTAATTTTTATGTTCCTTTCTACCAAAGTAAATTCAGCTTAATTTGTTATCTTTTTCTAATTTTTATTTTCATACACACACATTTTTATTCAATTAAGATAGATTTTAATTTTAATTTATCTCGATATAATTCTTAATTTCTTCTAATTCTTGGAAAAAAAATTAAACCAAGATTGAAATTAATCTACTGGACATCTAATAGACATAAAATAAAAGGAAAACCGGAAGTAGTCTTCTCTTACCTCGTCTGCGGAGCAGTTGCTGCCATCGGAGCGATCCTCCACGTTGTTGGGATTCCTCTCGGGCGTCTTGATCACCTTGATATTCGACATGGTGCCCTTGATAACGATGTTGTTCTCCCTGAAATAATCGTCGGCCTCCTGGTCCACCACGAGTAACTTGGTCTCGTTGGCGAACGCCTTGATGCGCTCGACCACCTGGTTGTGAGTCTCGTTCGCGATGTCGATCTCGTTAACCTCGATTATCCGGTCGCCCTGGCGCAAACCGGCCGCCTGGCTAGGCGAACCCTCGTCCACCTTGCCGATGAACTGGCCGTTCTTGCCCTTCTGCGCGTGCAAATTGAACCCGTAGCCGTTGAAATCGTCCCACTTGACGATGTGGCAGAGTCGGGCGCACGGCACCTTATCGTCCTTGAAGGAGGACATCGCGTCGCGTCACGTCGCGTCGGTCTCACTCTCGATCGCGACAAGGAGGATTATAAAGATGCACGCGAATCCGCGCCGCTGCACCACCACCAGACAGCACCACCGCACCGCACCGAGGAACGCGCGAAACGCGAGAGTCACGCGCGGACCGTGACGTGACGTGACGTGACGTGACGAGATGAGACGAGACGAGTCGAGACGGGCCGAGGAGAGCAGCAACAGCAGACGCGCGCGCGCACACACGCTCACACGGCTGTCGAAATACGTATGCGACCGAGTCACGGCAGGCGCGAGCATAAGGAACGACGAGGCGCGCCGAAGGCAGCCGAAGCGTCGCGAACGGGCCTCTCGGCCTCGGGCCGCCGACGAACTGCCGAGTGATCACGAGGAATGCCGAACCGATCCGAACCCGATCCGACTGCCGGAATTTCGATGATTTTCGCTCAATTTCTCTTGTTTTCCTTCTTATTCGTTTTCATTTATCCGTTAATGCGAGTAAAGTATCAATTCCTGTCGATACTCGACGCTCATTTTTAGCGTCAAAATAGATCACGTAATTAACGCAGATAATGAAATTTGAATTGATCACGTGATCTATTTTAAAGTTAAAAAGGTACGTCGAGAGTCAACATGAATTGATGCATACCTTTACTCACATAATAGAATAATCCATCGATTGAATATCATCCCTCCTGAAGTTCTCCTCTCAAGTAAAATTTGAATCGCGCAGAATGCTCCGTTCGTCGATCGCGGCTCTCGATTCGCGTTCATTTCATAAATTCCACAAAATATATCTCACTCGATGCACAATTTATATCTATCAGAAATCAAGTCCGTTGATGCGTTTCTCAAACACAAATAGTGAAGAAACCCGAGCAACGCGCATTGAATTATCAAAGTAAGAAGCGCGAAAAGATATAAGGGTACAACAGCGAGCACAGGTGAATGGCGTAAACTGTCATGGCGGCTACCCCTCGCGGCGAACGCACAAAGCTATGCGTGCTACGCCAAGGCCGCGTCGGTCAACAAAAAATGAAAACAAAACGGGCTCGCTTTCACAATACATATTCCGAGAAGTAAATCGTCGAAGTTAGTGTTTCTAAACTACGCGTTTTCGCCGGACGTGTTTTCTCGTACTTTTATTCAGATAATATAATGTTGAATATTATAATTTCTAGTATAAAGAGAGTTCTTCGCACAATGAAGAAAATATTAGGTACAGGAATAAATATTAAATGTTGTGTAAGAACTATGCACAATAAGCAACGAAAAGTTTCGTGTTAGATTTTTGCCTGTTTCTTACTCCAGATAATTTTGATTGCACGTAAAATCTTGATCTCGAAAAAGAGATCCGCGAAAAATATCAACGATAAATGAATGCAGCAATAATCGTCGCGAGAAGAAGCAGCGCGTTAAATCGGACATAACGGCAAGTCAACCGTTACATTTTCTGTACATCCCGAGATTTCATTGAATACGCAAATGCATAAAAATATACGAGAGCTCTGCTGAAACGCGAAATGCGCGGTCACGTTTCTCCCAACGTGGTTTTGTGATTAATTACCGACGCGCGTCCAAGTATGTTGATTTGACTCTTTCCACGAAACGCAGACGATTGAATCGCGGACGATCGTAACGCAAGAGCATGACATAATCGCGTCGGCGTAACACTGTGCGATTTGCGCAGACACGGATGCATCACAATAAAAGATGAGTAAAATACAACAGCGCGACAATAAAAGTGGGCGCGCCATCGCGCAAAAGAGATTTTTTTTTTCATGAAAAGTGTAAATAAATGTCAAACAGTTAACGTGTTACGTGTCTTTTAAATGTTGTTTAGCAAGACATTTAGCCAAATATGCTGCAAACAGATTTTACAAAGCATGTGCCACAACTTGTTGTTAGACAGAATCTATTAACAAAAAAACAATGATAAATCGACTGCGAGAGTCTGCTGTTTTGTAATCATTTAAATGATATAATCCGTTTGATTGTTAACGAAATAACAAATTCCGCTCGGTTTCTATTGGCACGATTATGTTAACTCTCTCTGTTGGCAGAACACAAATTTACAGAGTACAACAGCCAATCTGCAATATTTCGCTTGAATCTGCTGGCAAACTGTTGTTATTATTTTGCTCACTGAAAAAGATATATATATATATATATATCTTAGCTGACAAAATTGGCAAACTAAAATTATATTATAAACTGAAGTATTGTATATTCGATTATTATGATTTTATATAAACCTGTGTGGTCCCTCTTTTTTAATTGTACTATTAATAAAAAAATATATCTATCTTTAAAAATAATATGAATTGTTTAAAAATTGTGGTTGAATAAAATTATCGTTCCGACAAATTCTGTCTTTAATATGCTCGATTTGGAACGGTTATGTCACCTTTATATTCTTCACAAAACAAAAATTGGTGTCGATCGAAAATGTACCGGCCATTTCGAGCCGAAGACTTTATTAAATGATTACGAAATGACGAGCACAATAGTGCACGGCAATTATGGTGTGGACTATCACCTCGCTACTTCCGTTCTTCGGCAATCTTTGCGGGCAATCGCGCGGAATGTCGTAATAAGACGTAATAAAACCGCTTAGTGCAGTTTTGTAACCGCAATCATCTTCTCTGAGCTCTCCACAAATATAGCGGACAAGTCTAACTTTGCATTGCAAGACTTATTAATTTAACGACATACGTCGATTAACAGAATAATCTCGAAATTAACCGATCCTAAATTGTGGAGAATTCCGCTGTTTTGAGGCCAAACATTGCCATGTTTATTACGATTAATTTATATTCGTGATAATAATTAAAACAATCATTTTCTACGCTAATCGATCACTGATTATATCAAATGTTAATTAGAAGTACAACAGCGTTGTGACATGACCGTCAATGACGTTACAATCACTTGTCTTAGCATATTCGTATTACAAATCTATGTCAATGAAAATAGATATTGCATAAAGATAAACATATAATGTGAGATATGTCGAAGAAAAATATCAGGTATTTTTATTATTAATTCCATTATTTCATACGTGGATACAAAACTTTGCGTCGATAATACGACAATTTCGTCAAGTGAATTTCGTGCGACCATAGTTGAATCCGTACGATCATTTATTTTTAAAAATAATTATTCTTATTTGATATATCTTTTCATCGGTCTAAATCATCGGTTTTTAACTATAAATGCAAAACGTTTTAATAAAATAATTCGTTATTTAGATTCTCAATACTAAAATAAAACTGAATTCTAAGAAGTTAACTACTATTGCTACGTATTATTAAGATTGTTGTCACTCTCATTGTTTTTCGATAAAAATCGTGCCGCTTATTGCACGGTTATTATTATAATACAAGAATCCGAGACACATGAAGTGTTTCTCAGGATTGTGATAGCATTTTTATCGACGTGGCAATCACAGACCGCGAATAAGTTAATTAACGCTTTATTCAGGATATGGTTAATTAGACGTATAAGAGATGAATGGGAAATCTGGTACGAAGGTCAAAGCTGTGCAATTAAAACTAATACACGTATATATTTTAATATTAGATAGTATCACTGTTCTAATACTTTTTTTCATTATATACAATACAATTGTCGATGCAAGGACGGATCTAGTTATCCATCTCTATCCAGAAGAGAATGTTGTAATATAAAAATTTCAATTTCTTTAATTTCTTAAAAATTAAATTATATGCTACAGCAGTTCATTATTCAATAAAATAGAACAAATTAATTAAGTACAGAAATGTTCAGTAAATATCCATTTTTTTTCAAAGTTTAATTATGATTTTCATTTTATGAGTTTAATTATGATGATCAATCCTGATTGAGGATTTTTATGAGCAAGCTTTGAGCCTATTTTTATTCTTTCTTATTTTTTTTTCCTTCTCTCTTCAATTTCCTATACACATTTACTTAATTTCAAACGTGGTAAATCGTGTGGCGCAAGTATAAACAGACCAGAAACGAATACACAACGGATTCCGTACGATCCGCACCTGGCGCGCGTCGATCGCACGGCGGACGCACGTAGCGGTTGTTGTTCGAAGAGGTGCGGCGGCGGCGCGACGGCGGCGCGACGGCGCACAGCGCGGCGGCGTGGCGGACCGCATTACAGCGAGGCACGAGGCGCGAGAGACGCGCGGTGAACGTTCGGCTACCGACGTGACTGGCCGTGGACTTTCGGTTCTCGAGCGAGCGAGCGAGGCAGTTGGCCGTCAGTCCGCGAGACAGGACCGCGTGATGCGAATGTGTCGTCGTAGTCCTCGTTCGCGTAGGAAGTTCGAGACGCGCAACGGCGAGTGTCCCGAGTGATTCGGTGAGACCGAGCGACTGAGAGGGAAGCCGAAAACGTCGAAAATGTGGAGCCCGACGCACGTCCAGGTGACAGGTGAGTGAGAAACGATCGCTGTCGCCTCGATGAGAAACGACGTTCCCTCTCCCGTCCCTCTGCCCGTCCGTTGCTTCGACAGGTGGTCGGACGCGCCGCGGTGGAATGCGTAGCCGTAACGCGATTATTATTGCTCCTATGCGTCGCGCGCGAGCGCGATAGATGTGTGTTCGTGTATGTGAGGTTACGTGTCTCTTTCGCGGAAAACTAGGCGAGCGAAACCCTCGCAGCCTCGTCGCTGTCCTCGCCGTCGCCGCTCAGGAATGTATCCGCGGCCGTCCGAGCCCCGTTGCCGAGAGGCGGAAATCGGAATATCACTTTGTATTCATTTACCGCACGGCGGACATATGAACGCCAAAAGCGTAATTATAACGACATTAACGAATTCTAAAAAGAAAAAAAAATTACGTACGGAACTTGATAGATCTTCGAAAAACATCCTGTTTTTTTCTTTAAAAAAAAAACAATTCCTCGCAGGAATTTAGTCTTGCTTCTCCCAAGATCCCAATCTTATCGATAACGTAAACGCGATATCGCGATTTAGCGTCGTTCGAGGATGCGTCATGAGAATGATCTGGTTTATATCTCTCGTTATCTTAAATCGGGGAAGACGCGTATACAAAGCGAAGGAGCGTGCACACGCGAGAAATATACCGTCTCGCTGCTTCATGATGATGTGATGTGTCATCGTGTCATCGCGCCATTGCGCTGCAGTGGGTATTAAAACAAAATAGAACGAAGAAAGATAAACGTGTATTTAAGGATCATCTAGAAATGCGTCGTTCTGTCATACTCCAAAAATTTCTCTTTTCGTTTACTATATGCATTATTTGAGATCTTTTGTTTAACAGTTAATTCTCTTTAACCACATCTTTTTTCCTTGTGACAAAAATTATGCGACCAGTAAATGAGACGTATTGATTAAATTATTGAAACTTGAAATATATGATGTGTCATAATTTTTAACTAACTTTAGTATTAAAATTTAAATGTAATGTAATTTTCAAGTCAGATGACATTAGAAAGTTAGTAATGAATATATCATAATTTCTAATTAATTTTATATGACTCATAATTCATGTCATAATTCACTTATTTTGTATATATTTACTATTTCATTTATAATCTTACATGTCACATAAAAAATTACAAATAGATGCGCCTAAATTTTAAGATACAAGTTATTTTATAAATATTTTTGTTATAAAATAAATATTTTATTATAAAAAAAATTATCTATCAAGATGGAATCATGGAATTCTATCTAATCTAAAGTGGATTTTATATATTCAGATAATATAATTTTCCATAATGATAAAAGAATGTTCTCTATACACAGAAATCTCACGATGTTAGATATTTTTATTGTTGATAATTTGTAAAACATTGTTAGTGCTAAACAGATTAATGAAAGAGATATATTATTTACCTCTTTTATTTTTATCTCTTCTCCTTCTCCTCCCTCGGGTCCTCGAGATTATCGTAAGAGGATCATAACTTTTTGCGCGATTCGTAACGACTTCTAGTGGTAATTTCAATTAACTCCGACAGCAATTAAACGCGATACAATTATGCGGACGTCTCGCGGTGTTGCGAATAAATATTAGCTCGTAGAATATTCTGAACAACAGGATGTTTATCTGGAAAAATCTGGAAAACTTGGGATTCTCAGGGAATTTGTTTATGTCTTGAAAAATCAGAGAATTCATAAAGAATTTTATTGAAAATTAAGGAATTTTTTTGAAGTTGCTTTTTCTATATAATATTTTGTCTTTTTATTATAATTGAAAGTTTATCGACTGAATTATTTAATTTAATAATTTAATAATTATTAATGATAAGTAGCGTTATGATATTGCTACTCAAAATAGTTGTGTTATTTGTTGACTATATCTGTTGTCGGTTTTTCATAAACACGTGTATATCGTTTAAATTTGGTATTTTGGAATCTCTCCTTTCTTTCTCTTGTTATCTTTACCTTGTTTCTTCTGTGACAATTTGATCGCCGGTAATTATAGTTTTCTAACTTTCTACTTTAGTATACAGTTTGCACAAATGCAAAAAAAATTTCAAAGTCAATGCTATTTTACTGTTTAATCTATTATAAAATAGGCTCGACATGGAAATTTTTCAACTTATGAATAAAATTATCTTATACGTGCGATAAATGTTGTAATGTCAGTATCGTAAGGTTTATTTTAAACATAAGAAGAACATATGAGCTTAAACTTATTATATTATTTTTGTATCGAAACAATAAATTAATCTTGTTTCCAGGGGAGAGAATAGGAATTATTGATTTAATATTGTTTTATTTTCATATTGCGTGAAATAATGATATAATGATTTAATACGTCAATAATATTTTTGATCTTATCAGAAATTCTTTAGTCAGCAAAAGTTATGACAAAAAAAATTAGACTTAAATCAAGACAAAGACAGTTCTCATACATAAGCAAGAATGTCTTAAAAATTTTACTTTTGATTTCATTGAATTTATATTAATGTAAGTATTACTTTCCTCAATTCAAGATTAAAAATCTTCTATATGAAGATTATAATAATCTTGCTTATATAGAAAAATA